GGAGAATCAAAAGTAAGCCTCCATCACTTCAGAGAATTCTATGATTTCAAAGGCTCATTTTGCATACATCATCAACCAAACCAAAGAAATCATAGAAACAAAATACAACAGCAACTGGAAATATAAAACAAAAACAAAAATTGCTACAAATATTGATCAGGTGCAACAACATCTGCTGAGAGAGTTAAGACAGATTTAACGTTTCGGGTCAGTTGCCATACATCTAAATGCAGAAATTGTCGGGCTGGACCTTAATTTTTTTGGTCAAGTATCAGTTTCATTGTGTTTCAGTGGGTTTCTCTTCTCTCCATGTAACCAGCAAGATCTCTTGCCGTATCTTATTGAATTTGACCCATTAAATGCCCATCCCACCCACACCCTCTCACCCGATTCTAGACCCATCCTTCCACTCTAAGAACAATTTTGCCACTCACCAGATATCTGCCAGAAGACTGGCATCGCTGGAACTCTCCTATCTTTAAATGCCCACTATGTACCAGACAAGCACTGGCATTCTGAAATTGCCCTGCTTGTCAAAGGGGAGTCTGGCATCAGGCACCTCACCCACTACGAGGACAGAATCTCGGTCCTCATAGGTGAAGGTAATGGCTCACTCCTCCGTAATACCAAGACATCTCTGTTCCGCCAAATGAATGAGTACCACTTTTCATTGCACTGCAACTCTCACAGAAACCCTGCTGTCAGTGTCATTCATGGCACACTACTTCTAACTATTGGCTGTGATGCCTTCTCTTCCTCGAGTCTTGCAGGATGACCACAGGGAGGAATGGTTTGTTCTGTCGGAAGGCACCTGCTTGATATCCAAGGAAAAGAATTCAGAGGAACGAGAGGAAGCATCAGCAAGAGTGCCTCCTGCACACCCAACAAGCTCAGATACTGACACCTCGATGGGAATGTGAGGTTTAGAACATTTAGAACAAAATGGTGAGAACCTCACTGCAACTACTCCGCAGCTGGCCAAAGTAAGAAATGCATCAGGCCACTGATACTCAAAGGCTGCCAAAGGCCAGGCACATGGCCAGCCCAGGCAGTAGAGGATCCCGTGGTGTCAGAAATCAGGGACTTTGTACAAATGCAAAGGAAGGAAGAGAAGCAACAGTCAGATATGCAGGATACTACGGTGCAGTCTGCATCTGATTTAGACATGCAATCGTCTAGCCTCCATGAGGAAGTGGAGGCCATACAGAACCTGGTCCAGCATCCTCATGGTCTGCTGGATATACACACAGCCCTGCACTCCATCATCCCAGCCACTGGCCATCAGGACCAAAAGGTTTGGCAACAGGAGTACAGGGAACCTGACATGAAATTCCAGGTGCCCCTTCCTCATAAGGAGACATAACAATGCCAGAAGGCATCCTGTCAGAGGAGCAAACACACACTGGCCCTTCAGAAGTTCTCCTCTCAGGACAGGACACCCCAGAAGTGGCTGGGTCCTCCACCTCCACCCTGCCTGCACCTCTCGGACCCTTGTACATTCTACCCAAGAAGGGTCCGCTTGCTTCTGGCAAGGAAACCCTCAGCATGTCTGGACCAATCCAAAGACAAATACCTCTGCAGTCACTCAAGCAAACCTCCAATGCCAATGGACTCCACTGCCAACCAGACTCCCAATCTGGAGCAACACAACTATAATTGGTGGGAAAGGAAAAGCAAAAATCCTTTTGTAGGCATTTTGGTAGACTGTGTAACCTTACACTGTAAGTAAGTCTAATGTTTATATAAATGTTAATGATTTTGCAACACATCTGTTTAGCCCCAGATGTAACTGGGCCAGGAAGGTGAGTAACTTCATGTCCACACAGTATGTATCTTGGATTGATATCTACATTGACAGCATGCTGCAGCATGTGGAAACGAGATGAATAAAGAGTATATAGGGCAATGGGTTCTGTTAGCACATTGCCTCTCTTGATCAAACAACCCTATTTCTTTCCCTGATCTCTGTGTGGTAAAGTAGTGGTGTTGAAGGAAGTGGTTAGCAATATGTGGGGCAGGGAGGTGTACAACACACACTGAGACAATGTTTTAGAATGGTTAGGAATTAGGGAGCCACAGGTCTGTGTCCTGTACTGAGCTTGGGTCTGTGTGTAAATTTCTTGCCCTCTAAAAGGGCCTCACATTGGCGGGTTTTGCATCTGCTCTTCGCAAATTGAGACACCTACACATTCACCCCAGGTATGGTCACAGTCATTTTCTTTCCCATTGTGTACTTTTGATTTTCAGCATGATGGAAGGTGAAAGTAAGCACACTTTGGGAATAGTTTCCAGATTCCACTTCTGTGTATTGGTGGGGTCTCAAACATCCAGATCCCCTTCTTGGTACCCTTCCCATGAACTCCTCTGACTTCACACATCGCCAGGTCCCTTCAAGTGTATATCTCCCTGACAACTTTAGCCCCTTGCCCTTTCCTCCCAAAGATTGGCTGTGACAGTTCATTTTCCGAACTGCAGAGGCACGGACCCCTTGACAGAGAACACACAAACTGGAAGCATGAACATGACTAATCCTCTGGCTGGGTACCAGAGGCTGCCTCGGCTTTCTGTGCTAGGAATCCCAACAGGCAAGTGCCTCCATGGACTTCAATAAGGACAAATCTCTATGACATGGCTGCCTGCTTGCTGCACATGCACTGTGTTTGCCACGTTAGCTGCTGGCATATGCAGCAGGGATGAGACTGACACAGCACACTACCATCCAGCAAGACATAGGCTTCCTTGACTAAGAACAACTGACTGGCTGTGCAACTTTGCTAATAAACACAGTAAGGCAAGGCAAGGCAGGGATGCTGCGAGCAAGCAGTTACGTGCTAAATGAGCAAGCTCTAGGACAGCAAGCATGCAGTCCTGAAATGTGGCCTGGTCTAATCCATGAGCTGGCTCCCAGACCATGTGTGCAAAGCCTTTCAATGCAAGCTGCCAGTACGCCATGTAATGCAGGTCTCAATTTCCTAAGCATCCTGCAAGTGAATTGGAGAGGTGCAATGGGGATCCTGAGGAGTTGGCAATTACTGGATGCCAATATCCCTGGATGAGAAATGTGTGCAGCTGGTGCCTGTGGATTGTATACTGAAATGCTGTCGCCTGGTAACATGGAATCTCCTCAATCAGGGATGGGCTGAAGTTGGCAAGTACCCATTCTGACTCCCATGTCAAGAATTCTCAGTGTCTAGTTTACTTGCATGGGGTGGTAGGATAAGAAGCTGCATATTAATGAAGTGGGATGTACAATTAAAGTCATTAACAAACAAAATCCCTGTTAAAGGCAACTTGCTGCTGCCTACAGTGAATCTTGACTAAGATCTGGGGATCTAGTAAAAAGATGCAATGAGTTGTTCCCAATGCTGAGGCAGACCTCATCGGACATCTTGCACAACTCTGCCACGTTTCTTGCCACAGGCCATGTCATTCAGGACCCTGTAAGATTTTGCCCATTAACTATTTCTCTCTCCACAGACCCTGCCGGACGTTGAGTATTTCCAGCATTTTTGTTAATAAGAAGAATTTGACTTATTTACTATTTATGTCGGCAGAATGTGACTACAGCAGTTATAATCAGTCACTTAAGTAAGCCAATATCGAAAGCATTTCAAAAATATAAAAGACCTTTTCATGAGGACTGAAATGGTCTTAGCAGGGACTAATTTGTACAATTACACGGAGATAACTTTCCAGCAATACTTGTTTTAAGAGAGGAAGTTAGTGAAATAAAAGCTCTAATAATTCATAGTTTAAACAGTCAAATTAAAGCAAATATTGGAATTCAATAATGGCTCAGTTTTATTTGAAGACAACAGAAAACTGAAATTTTAAGTGAGACACATCACGTTAGAGTCATAGAGTCAAACAGCATGGAAGCAGCCCCTTTGGTCCAACTCGTCCTCACCGACCAGACATCCCAGTCTGACCTAGTCCCATTTGCCAGCATTTGGCCCATATCCCTCTAAATCCTTCCTATTCATATATCCATCCAGATCCCTTTTAAATGTTGTAACTGTACCCGCCTCCACCATTTCCTGTGGTAGTTTGGTCCATACATACACTACCCTCTGCATGAAAAATTTACCCCTCAGGTCCTTTCTAAATCATTTCCCTCTCACCTTAAACCTATGCCCTCTAGTTTTGGACTCCCCCATCCTAGAAAAAAAGGCCTTGGCTATTCACCCTATCCATGCCCCTCACGATTTCATAAACCTCTAAAGTGGCCTCTCAGGTCTAATGCTCAGGGAAAAATGCCCCAGCCTATTCAACTTCCCCCATAACTTAAACATTCCAATCCCAGAAATAGCCGTAAGTATTTTCTGCACACTTATGCATGCAGTATTCTGGAAGTGGCCTCACCAATGTCCTGTACAGCCACAACAATAACATCCCAACTCCTATACTCAATGCTCTGACTAATGAAGGCAAGCATGCCAAACACTTTCTTCATCACCCTGTCTGCCTCTGACTCCACTTTTAAGGAACTATACATGTGCACTCCAATGTCTCTTTGTTCAGCGACACTTTCCAGGGCCTTACTAGTAACTGTATAAGTCCTGCCCTGGTTTGCTTTACCAAAATGCAATACCTCACATTTATCTAAACTCCATCTGCCACTCCTCAGCCCATTCGCCCATCCAATCAAGGTCCCATTGTACTCTGAGATAATCTTCTTCACTGTCCACTACACCACCTATTTTGCTGTCATCTGCAAACTTACAAACCATGCCTCCTATATTCACATCCAAATCATTTATATAAATGATGAAAAGCAGTGGACCCTGTTATAATGTTCATGCTAGCCTGGCTTATACTTGTACACACTGACTGACGTGCCTTCTATTTACTATGTTTTGTTTAATTTCAGATTTCCAGCATTTGTCCAGCTTTTCCTTTTATTTCTATTTTGATAATGTTTTCACTATATATGTCTGATACTATAGAGAAAGCAAAAGTGAAATCTGTAATTCAAATGCAGATAAACAGTTTCTTGTTACCTTGCATGGATGGGGATCAACACCATAGGTTTCTAATGTTTGAGCTTTCTGCAGCAGATTTAGTTCCGCAACAGCTGCTGTCTGTCCCCTAAAAGGATAATTAAATCGATCCTTAATTATTAAAGCAGTAATGTAACTTCAAAAACTATTCATGTGGATAAACTGCAAAAGAACTAAGGGTCATTAAAATTAAAATCTCATCTGGAGGAAGAAGCAAACAAAGAAAAAGCTGAAAACAAAAACAGAAATTGCTGGAAAAACTCAGTACATCTTGCGACATCTGTGAAAGAGAAAGCAGAGTTCTGAAGAAGGGTCACTGCACTCAAAACATTAACTCTGTTTTGTCTCCATAGATGCTGCCATACCTGGTGAGTTTCTCTAGCAGTTTCAGATTTTTAGCATCCACAGCTCTGTTTTATCTTAAAGAAAAAGCAGGCATCTTGAGAGTATATTTCCTTAGGAAATCCCAAAGTGCTTTACAACCAATGAAGTATTTTTTATATGTAGTCACTGTTCCGAGAGAGACTTTTATTTACATAGCTCCTATTGCCATGTTAGTGATAACGGTCTCATGATCAAACATTCTTCAAGGATTGATTAACTCCTTGGGTTTATTTATTCAAAACAGTATAACAGATTACCTGCTACAAAGCAGAGATTACAGCAAATCAACTGACTGCTATATGTAACACAGCGTGGAGCTGGAGGAACACAGCAGGCCAGGCAACATCAGAGGAGCAAGAATGCTGACGTTTCGGGTCGGGACCCTCCTTCAGATTCTGAAGGAGGGTCCCGACCCGAAACATCAGCTTTCCTGTTCCTCTGATGCTGCCTGGCCTGCTGTGTTCCTCCAGCTCCACAATGTGTTATCTCTATCTCTGACTCCAGCATTGGTTGTTCTTACTATCTCTGATTGCTATGTATGCAGTTTGCAAATGCAAAGTAGACTAACTGCTAGGCACTGTCGCAACATTGTATACTTAAAGCATAGGGAGTCCTTAAAGGTGAACATTCTTCAAGGTGATGCATACATACACAATTCTCCTCCCTGCCAAGAATAAATTTTAATGACTTATAATAACAAGTGAGCCTTTGAGTCTCTGCAGCATATTGGTAATTCCCTGATAAATCCAGATTTGTGATGGCAATTTTGTCTGGAGGTGCCCAGTCATCAGTGATAATGTCTGTCATTCCAGTTTGTATCATCAAATCTTTCTTTCATGGACTGCAGTTACTGTTCCAGAATTTGTTTATACTTACTAATGCACTACAGGTAAGATTTGTTGCAGATTAACTAGTGATTGATCTCGTTCCTCGACCTGTTTGGAGTGGTTCAAATCATTTTGGCATTTTCTGTTTTGTCCCATAAGAACTTGCATTTTGAAGCTTCTGGTTTTACACCCTGTATTCTAAGTAAATCAAAGTTTTAGTCAGTTTTGGTCTAGTTCACGTGTTCTTAATAAGTCTGCTTTAATAACTATTTAGCCTTTTCAACATATTTTTACTCTAGCTTTCTTCAGAGCCTGGACCTCTTCCACTTCTAATTTAATGATCATTTTCATTTACGTCCTGTTAGAATTCTTTCACGAGAGCATTATTGTTTGCATTTGTTTCTGAAAGTCTCAAGGGTGATATCTGGAGCTCTTTATTGTGTTCATTATGCACCATCACCTGATTTTCAGCCCATTGGTTTGGGTACACTTACCAGAAATCTGCTGTCATTTTCATCAAGGTTCATGGAGAGTTTCTTTCTACAAGGCTAGCTCGAATTTTCACCTCACTAACAGGGTACCATGTCCCTCTGACACCTCACATCTGATGCTAGATTGATTCTCCTACTCACCATAGGCAAAATCACTCACCACTGCCAAGATACTCCAGGATCACTGGTGATCGTGACATGTTTGAAGTCCAGCCACACACCCGGTCAATTGTTTACAGTCCGTAATTGTCCTTCACCGCGCAAGTGGGAGAGCAACCACAAACCACGTTCTTAGGGCACGGAGGTGACACATTTAACATTGCCTTGCACATACAATTGCACATTTCTACATTTATCGCTGCTTAAGCACCAAACCACACAGCTTAACTATACTTAGCCACATCCCTCCTTGTGTCCTGATATAAATGTATAAAATGAGAAGCATGTATAGAGTGAATTGTCAGAGTCTTTTTTCCAGGGTGGAAATGTCAAATACAACTGGGTATAATTTTAAAGTGAGAGGGGGTAAGTTTAAAGGAGATGTGCGAGGCAAGTTTTTTTTTTTAAAACACAGAGGGTGGTAGGTGCCTGGAATGTGCTGCCAGGGATGAGATAAAAGCAGATATGATAGCAACATTTAGGAGGCAGTTAGATATATGAATTGGCAGGGAATAGAGGGATATGGACCATGTGAAGGCAGATGGGATTAGTTTAGAATGGCATCAAGGTGGGCACAGACATGGTGGACCAAAGGGCCTGTTCCCGTGCTGTGCTGTCCTATGTTCTATCCCTCTCTAAGTCACTGCTACTCTTTCCCCAGTGCCAAATGTAGCCCAGCATCTTATCATTTAGTGTGGAACCATTACATACAGGGAAGGCTTCAAATGTTCAAGCATTTATTCAAATGTTTATTTACCAACAGTAAAACCTAACTAAAAATAAACAAATAGAAGCTGCATTTGCCTCAGAAAAGAATCAGACTGTTTGCCTTTCGAGCACCAACTATTCTCGTCAACTGACTGTCACTGCATACAGCACTTATCTACTGGAACTGGGTGTCAATTAAGTCCTGTCAGACTCGACTGCGTTGTATCAAGCGAAAATATTGGAATCAATTCTTAAGAAAGTAATAGCAGAACATTTGTAAAATCATAATCTAAGCAAGCAGAGTCAGCATGGCTTCATGAAACAGAAATTGTGTCACATTAATTTATCAGAGTTTTGAGGATATCTCAACCAGAGTGGATAGAAGGGGAACCAGTAGATGTGTTGTATTTGAACTTCTAAAAAGCATTTGACAAGATACCTCACCAAAAGTTACGTCATAAGATAACAGCTCACAGTGTTGGAGGCAGTATATTGGCGTAGATAGAGAATTGGTTAATAAGCAGGAAACGGAGTGGAGGTAAGAGGTCAGTGCTGGGACCACAGCTGTTTACACTTATGTTGATGTTATAGTTGTATTCTATATTAATGACTTGGAGAATGGAAGCAAATGTACTGTCGTCAAATTTGCAGACAACATACCAATAGGTGGAAAGGCAAGCTGTGAGAAGGACACAAACAGTTTACAGAGAAATATTGATAGATTAAGTAAGTGGGCAAAAAGTTGGCAAAAGGAGTATAAAGTGGGAAAATGCAATATTGTTCATTTTGGAAGGGAGAACAAATGAACAGAGTATTATATAAATGGAGAAAAACTGCAATTCTCTGTCAATGCCAATATAATGCCTCCAACACACCGAGACTTAGGGGTACTTATGTACAAAACACAGAAAGCTAGCACACATGTACAGCTGGTAATCAAGGCGGCCAATGGAACGTTGGTCCTTGTTTCAAGGGCGTTGAGTATAAGAATCAGTCTCTTTGCGACTTTACAAGGTGCTGATGAGTCCACATTTACAGCATTGTGAGCAGTTTTCGTCCTCTTGTTTAAAGAAAGGTATCATTTCATTGGAGGCTGTTCAAAGCTGGCTAACTAGGATGATCTCTAGAATGGAAGGATTGTCTTATGATCAAAGGCTAAACAGGTTGGGACTCTACTCACTGCAGTTTGGAAGAATAAGAGGTGATCTCATTGAAACATATGATTCTTCAGGGGCTTGATAGGGTAATTGCTGAGAGGATGTTTCTCTTCATGGGAGAGTCTAGGGCCAGAGGACATAGTCTCAGAATAATGTGACAACTTGAGACTGAGATGAGGAGAAATTTATTTTCTCAAAGGATTGAATGTCTTTGGAACTCCTTGCCACAGAGAGCTGTGGGGTACAGAGTGTTCGTATATATTTAAGGCTGAGATAGATAGATTCTTGATCAGTGAAGGAAGTCAAGGGTTAGGGGGAAATGGCAGCAAAGTGGACAATGAGGAATGTCTTCAGATCAGCCATGAGCCTATAGAATGGAAGAGCAGGTTTGAGAGGCTGAATAGCCTACTCCTGTTCCTATTTCATCTAATCTTATGAGCTAAGATTATGTTCCTGCTGCTCAATATCCTCACCTTCTCCTCAGGAGACTGCTCCCACTCTTTCAGCTCATCACTATCCCATCAGTAAATCATCTTCTACTGTTCCATTTGTAGAGACCACAGCATGCTAGGATAATGCATCACATTTTTTTCATTCATTCATGGGATGAGGGCATTGCTGGCTAGGCCAGCATTTATTGCCCATCCCAGTTGGCAGTTAATTGCTGTGGATCTGGAGTCATATGTAGTCCAGACCAGGTAAGGTTGGCAGTTTCTTTCCTTAAAGGGCATTATGAACCAGTGAGTTTTTCTTACAATCAACAACGGTTTCATGGTAATCATTAGACTCTTAATTCCAGGTTGTTTTTTTAAGAATTCAAACACCACCATCTGCCATGGCAGGATTTGAACGCAGGTCCCCAGAACATTACCTGAGTCTGTAGATTAGCAGCCCAGCGATAATATCACTAGATCATCGCCTCCCCCCATACTGTAAAGCATTTACCAGACCAAACCAAGCTCTAAAGTCTGTTAAACTGTGATTGTGGTTGAAGAATGGGCAGCACTGTATTGATGCTCAGCCTCAATCAAGGAGTTTTATAATGGGGTCATCAGTCTTTGTTGCAGAGTAGCCCTTATCTCCCAGTGGCTATCATTGCAGGGCATCTGGCCTTCAAATGCAAGAGAAACAGGAGAGTTATCAAGAATACAGATATCACAGCAGCTCTCAAGATACCTGGTGTACACTTCCAAAATATGGAACTGATGATCACAGATGAGTTACACATTGATGGAATGCAGCCCTTTTCTACTGATGAACTCAGCTGTGTGATGATATGGCCCTCTCAATACAATGTGTATGCAGTCTACTATGCCCTGCACCTGCAGGAAGCCAGCTCTGTTGACAAAGACTGTTGCCCAG